AGGGGTCCCCGCAAGAGTGGCGGGGAGGAGTTCCCATCCTACACCAGTAGTTTGAAGCTAGTGGGGTTTGAGGGGCATTAGAAATGCTTTATGCTTATCCGCGCTTCCCCACTGGATCACCCTGGGAGAGCATGTCTGACCTCCGGCCAATCACCCCAAGAGTTTTCCCTGTAGTCTCCTAGAGAGCGTCTGTTTCCTCCCCCAGAACCCCAATCCCGAGAAGAGGAGTCCTTCTCTGTGGTCCTGGGGGTCCGGAGAGAGTCACGGCTTTACTTAGAAAGGAGGAAGGGGTGGGGATTGGGGCCCCAGCCTCACTCAAGGGGCTCTGTAGCTGTCCCGCTGCCTGTCTGTCTGGCCTTGGGGTGCTGTGGTAGAATGTGGGGGAGCACCCCCACTCCGGCCCCCGCTGAGGCAGCGAGCGTGAGGCCCTGCCCTCTGCCTCCTTCGACTGTGCACAAGCCTGCCTGTCCCTTCCTGCGGGGAAGCGAGGGCTTACAGATGGAGAGTGAGTCACCCCACTCCCCGCAGCTTTCACCTCATCCCCAAACTATGGGGCAGAGAGGACCCAGCGCAAGGTCACCTGGTGAATTAATGGGGAGTGGGGGGTGTGGCAGGACCTGGGCTTTTGACTCTCAGATGTACCAGTTTCCTCTTCCCAGATACCAACCCCCCACCACCCCTTCCCCTTTGTTATCTTTGCATTTTGCACTGAAACCACTCACGGCTTTGGAGGGGCCCCATTGAGAACGGGGGTCCTGGTTCCTGAGCTCTGAAGGATTACTGCTGTCGAGGGTCTTAGGGGAGCCAGATGGTGAGGGGAAAGTGAGTCTATCCTTGGACCCAGTTGGCTGAATCCCCCAGCATGCCTGGTGCTCAGGGAGAGACGCTACCCCACTCTGACGGTGCTGCAGCATCCAAAAGCATCCCTAATCCCGGGATGCTGTTGATGCTGTTGCCCTGCAGAGGGAGAGGAAGAGGAGGAGGAGAGAAGGAGGGGGAGGAGGAGGGAAGGAGGGGAGGGGACAGGAAGGAGGGTGGAGGACACGCTGTTAGCTATAGCAGACTTCAGAGCCCATCACTGACCCCATGACTTGTAACTACAAGGAGCTGTGGGGAGGCACCGGGCTGGACTCAGGAGGGGCTGCTGCAGAGGCTGGTCTCGAAGAGCCTGGGGTCCGGGGGGGCTGTGCAGGCCCTCCCTGGGTGCATGCTCCCGCTCTGGAGAGGACGAGGCATCCGAGAGGCAGGGGGCAGATTCTCAGCTCTGGGTAGGGAGCTCCTGGGACACTGGGGTGCCTGGCGTGGGGCCCGGGGGATTCCGGAGCATGTCTGGTGGAGAAGAGACTTTGCCCTTCCTCCTTTTTAGAGCCACCTCCACTGGGGGGAGGGGCGGGTGCAGAGGAGGCAGAGGGTCAGGTTCCAGTGGCCTCCAGGAACCCAGAGCTGTCAGGGCTGGCGAGCACTGACCCCTCTGGCCAATGCAGGCTGGCTGAGCTTCTGAGGTACATGTGTCCAAGTGCCCTCAAAAGGGCTGTGG